TTCCATCAATTCCGGAATTTTACCTGTGCCTTTTCTATTAAACATTGTGTACTACACAAGTAGAATTCTCGTCTAAGAGACTAAAATTCTCGTGGAAATTCTCGAAATTTCTGTGAAAAAGTAAAATCGATGCCAGAAAGAACGTCAAAATCTTGCACCGATGCACTATCACGGAATTGGTGCTCAAAAAAAAAATTATTCGGTATCGATGTGCACCCGTGTCCAACCAGTGTCGACAAAATGTTTTTTCGCAGGTTAGATACATATCTTTTGATATATATGGTATGAGGACTGACGACTAAGTGTTGTTTGGAAAGAGCGGACTCTTGTACACCTCGAGAATCGTTCCCTTCCTCTTTGTCATCGCCTCTCGCATAAGTTGCCGATGTACAACTAAATAAGCAGAATCGTTTTTTCTCAGGTTTAGTTGCTAAACGTTCATCTTCGGTGCCAGATACATTTTCGTCGGCTCGACTTCGTCGCTTTTGCTTTATGACGTTCTTACTGTCATATCCAGCTTTCATTTCGAGGTAACATCGTGGACAGAGAAGGGTATCTGCTCTGAATTGCAACCTACGGAATGCTGATTGTGCACGGTAGCGCTGTACAATATAGTTGGTTAAAGCTTCAGCTTGCGCTGCATTGTGCCATCTCAGACGACTACCTTTAACTTTTTCGGAACCCCGTTCAGTATTATCATTGAGATGATTAGTTGGATGCTCACATGTTTTCTTCGTTAGCATCTCGATGTGGAAAAAGTGTAGCAAAAAGCAAAAACTCTCTCGTAAACAACGACGCGGATCACTCAAGTATTCTGATATGCATACCATCTTAACGTAACAGAATGAAGAACAACATAAATTACTCGCGAGATAAAATGTACGCTGATAATAGTTGTCATGTTTTACAACGTTATTCCTATTTGCTTAGTACTAAAAGGTCTTGTTCTTTATTTGCTTTACAGCTGAAGAGAGAGCGAGAACTTTATCAGATATAAATAGAGGTTGATGAAAATCGAGCGCTACCTTCTCTTTCTCTTTCTATACCTCACAGAAATAATGAAGAATAAAAAACCTTGAAAAACCACGATAAAAGAGCACGCTTAGGTAAAAATCCGGCTAAAAGGCCCTGCAGAGTTCTGGTAAATTAATTTCTAAGAATGGCACTAGAATCAGCATTAAAAACTGCCTATAAACTGTAAATTTCAGCTTTGTTAATCGAAAACTCTGTGATTTAGAAGGCTATAATCTGATCGATTTTTAGTCATTACTCTTCATCTTAAAATGAGCATAACTCAGAAACGGGAGATGGCGGTTGGATTTTCAACGGATTCGTATAGAATCGAGTGCGTTGAATCCGAATATCACCATCCGAATCTCCAAAAGTAGGGAAAAGATCTCAGAAAATGAGTTACAAGTTGGGCAAAAACGCCAAAGACCTGAAAGTGATCTTCGTTAATTTCTCTCAGGAGACTCGGCAAAGAGACTTGAAAAAACCAAAGATAATCTTTCAGATAGATTAAATGATGCTGAATCCGATGCACTACTCAGATTTGAAATTAAAGGTCGTCTTGACCTCAGAAAAGGTATTTCAAAATAGCTCCTTTTTGAATATTTCGCCATTTTGAAAGTGATGGTATACATGATGGTGACGACTTGGAGAGTTGATTCTTGAGGCAAAGTTGTTCAGAATTGCCTGTTCTATACAGTTTTATTGAATTTCGAAGGGGAGAGTGTAGATTGCAAACGCTGTTTAAACTATAGTTGTTTCCGCAAGTATATGGTAAAGAGGAAGACCACTGGACAGCAAAGAAAAATGAAACAACTGCGCGCAAAGTCAGGTTCGAGACAAATGGTTCATTGAACGACGAAAGGAAAGCTCAACTTTGTTGTTATCTCTGTATTTTCGAAGATCATTTTTGTTTTTTAGCTGCTATTTGCGTTTAAATACACAATGTGGATTCACAAGATTCTTGTGGATTCGCAATTCTCAAAAAACACTGAGCTGTCCGACAAGTCAATCAAAGTGTTGAAAAACGTCTATTAAGTACGGAAACGAAACCTCAGGGCAATCTAAATAAGCAAGAGTACATCATGTAAAAAGACTAGAAAATAAAAACGCAATCATTCATCCTCTCTCTTCATCGCGTAAACACGTATATGTCAGTTCTATAGTATACACTTTCTACTACATATCTACGTTATGTCTAAATACGCTTGATTAATACATGTGAATGAATATTATACATCTCGGAAAACAAATAAAATGCAATTTACTCAAGTAATAGCACCAACAACTCCAACAATTAACGGAGTTTCAATTAACAGAGATTCAATAAGAAATGACGTCTTCGAGATAATCTCAAATAATCAAGAAGTGAAAGAGCAAATTCAGTCTTTACGAGAGAATTCTAAACCAGAAGATATTGTGAATATATTGCAAGATGTTGTTATTAAACGAATTGAGCAACATTTAACTGTTTTAGAACAAAAAACTAATTCAATTGAATAACAGCTTGAAAACATTCAGTTTAATGCAAATTCTCGTGAAAGAATTTCAAGACAAAAGAGTCTCCATTTCATTGGAATGAAAGAACAAGTTGATATTGTAAAATCAACCACTGTATTTCTAACTATCTCATAGAAAATTTTATCCAAATGTTTATTTCTATTTGATATTGTTCGATAAACATCGATTTTATACTAAATGAATATTCTATTTAATTTTTATCATTTTCAGATATGGAACCTCTTCTTAAAA